CAAAATACCTAAGTAGTATTATAAATGGGGACTTTTAGGTTTACTGATTATATTGTGTGCTCGCACTATTAACTTTTGTTAGTGCACTGTCGCTAAAACTGCTCCTCAAAATTGATATTTGTATCACATTAGTTACGCAAAAAAAATCATACAATTTTGTAATCTACAAGTGCATATTAAGTGAAATACTACTACTGCCCCACGACCGGAAGTAGAACTTTTCTCAGGAGCCTGCGGAGACAAAGAAAATACGAGCAGTCTTGCTTATTAAGCAAAGACAAATACACCAATTACTTCACATTTTATTACGCCCTTATCTTTACAAAGATGTAGCCATACAGTATTATCAGTTTGTAAGTACAAGAAATGCAGAGGAACACCAGTCGTGGTCCCGCAAACTTGCTTATTCATTAGATTTGTTCCAACAATTAAAAAAATAAAACATTTTTATTCCAAACAATCACCCATTTCATATATCTTCTATTGGTTCTTCATTGGTTTTGGTCTGGTCTCGAAGAACTGAGCAGACAATGCGCAAATATATTTTTGGTAAATAGTCTAGCGTAAAAAGAGAATCAAATAACAGAACTTCTAAAAAGCAGAGATAACAAACCTACAAATATCTTGAAATAATTTAAACAAAATAAAATAAATCTGTAAAGCGAAGACAAGGAAAGTAGCGATACTGTGAAGAACCACTTGCTTACTAATTAATTAACAAATAAACAAGTGACCTTCACGGCACCGCCGACTTTCAAATTCCAATGACAATAGATGATTCTTTCTTTCTCTGAAACGTTGATGGAAGTAATGAAACTGGATATCTCTTCGTCATATTGAAGTTCCACTAACATTATCCGCAACCAATTTAAAAACGTAAGTGTACCTTAATTTTCTAAATATATAACAGTTTTCTGTCGCTCACAACAATTTTGCAAGACAACAGTTCGGATTCCGATGAAATTTTATATTTTCATTGGTGCATTCTAGACGTACCTAACTTGAAAATTATTTGAATCAAGACATATGTAATAAAATGTATAGTTATGGGTAATACATTGTAAATTTTTGCCATTTCGTGTTCTTAGTCAATGAATATTTCATGAATTTACAATGACACAGTAAAACATAGTTTTTTTTATTGTACAATCTGTTCATGAAGGTATTTACAACTGCAGTGGACTCCGTCCATCCAATTTAAATTTTTTAGGGTCATTTTTTAGGATCAACTACATTGGTTACTACGAGGTTCTCGGAGGGGCGCCACTTCACGAAAGCCATGACCTACTGCCAGCAAGTGGCGCCATAGAAATAATGGAAAGCCCCGATATCACCTCGATTGCAATCCGAAAGTGCGAGCCGGGGCAAGCGGCCGGGGGCGGGGGCGGGTCGCACAGGGCCACTCCAGTCGGAGGGTTAGCGAAGTGTGAAGTGGCGATCTGAAGGGCTGGTGCCCTGGCGCCGTCCGTAACCCTGGCCTGCCCATGAATATAGATGGCCTCTTTCCGCCATCACCCGGGGGCCAACGGGCGGCGCACGTCGGGCCTCGGAACCTAGATGGTCAGCACGGGAGCAGGATGAGAACTACTTAAAAAACGTCTATTCATTTCGTTGCGTTGTTCGAAGAAAAATCAGATTGATCTTGATAAGATAACGTCTTAAAATGTTCTCCTCGCAGTAGTGAATCGATTTCTACAAATAGATCACAAGGGATAATAGCCAAAATCTATAGCACCTATCCGTGGCAAAACGTTTTTTAGATGAGAGATAATATATCCTTTGATACTCTTGTCAGCGAAGCACGGTTTCATAATTCGACTAGAGTATCAAATAGAGTAAGAATCCTTGAGATCTACAAAGCATTACAAAATCACACAATTTTAGCTATATGTTTACGTCAAATAAGTAACTTATATTCCTACACAAGACCAGAAACCGTCTTCGGAGAGAAAATGATTGCTAAATGACTTAATAATAATCCCGGAAGCACTTAAATACAATAAAAATAACTATGTTAACAACAACCAAAAATGTCCCCACAAACAATTACAAAGTTATTTAAATATTGCTTAACAACAATATTAAATCAAAGAAGGTATCTCAAAGTTATAGGTCAATGATGCATGGAACCACGAGAATATTAAAAAAATAAATAAATAATAAAAGACATACAACTTTTGAAGGACTAATAAAAATAATAATAATAATAATAATAATAATAATAATAATAATAATAATAATAATAATAATAATAATAGACGCTCAGTTCGCTGAGTTCGCTTATGCAAAAGTGCAGTTGCGGACTTGGACCAGAAAATCGAGCATCCGAGTGCCGCCTCGCGCATGGATGTATTTGTGTTGGTGTGTTGTCGACCTCTCACCCGTCACTATTAACTTTTTATCTTCCATACCCCCAGGCCAACAATCAGATACAGCTAATTGCCGACCTAATGATAAAATTATATTCACCTGCGACCGAGACGTTTCCGAGCCCCGAGGTACACACATGCCTGGCACACATGCCTGGCATATTCGCAGCCAAAAAACAAAACAATAAGTACAAAAATACAACAAAAAACAAAAACAATACAAATCACAATACAAAAATATAGCAACAATGCCAATCCGGATAGCCGCGATGGCTAAGGAAGTAGTGGCTTTTCCATACCCCCAGGACTAGCAACCCTGAGGAAATTTAAAAATTAAATTCTTCATAATGCTGATCCCCCCAAAAAGGAGTCACATTCAATTGTTACTGTGCCTCAGTGTCAAAGCAGGTAGGACCTGCGTTATCCTCAACGGCCAATTCACGACATCAATTCGCGACATCAAGTCGTATAGGGCTACCATTTAGGCTCGCGATTCTTCTTAATGATTCCAATGTTATTGCATTTCTTGGAAATGCAGGTTTATGGGAAAAAATACTGATCTCTCGTCGTCTTGCCACATTTCTTTGACCTTCACACTACGCGCACGCATACCGATCGGGTGGAAGATATAGATGACAAAGCGGAAGACCATCTCAGGGAATTTATTCGGCACATCTCGCCAATGCGTTGCTCTACCCCGCATTCTGCACCCTCACAAGAGCCTTCATTCCATTTTCAGATGGCAATGATCGTCCGTGTACATCCTTAGTTTTACCACTTTTAAACATATCACTACCTTTTGACTCTTTACAAATAGTACCTGTAGCTATGTCACGTGTAGCTTCTCGCAACAAAAATCCTGAAAAGCACATAAAATACTTTAATAACAAGTACCACGCACAAGACCGACAAATTAAATACGTGTAGATATATGCAGGCGATTAAATATTTTAACATAACGTTTACTGCAATAACAGCTTAATGTAGTCCATTACATACACAAAATAACAACAAAAAACGTGCTTTTCCATAACACCTGACACCTCATAATTATTGGCGGCGGCCCTTCCTTGGAGCTTTGTTGCATAACGTTCGCTGTACCGCAAGCAATAACGCACTCGGTATGAGAATTCAGTTTGTAACGCAATCAAACGTTTGCATTTCGTCACTAATGTAACTTTTTCTCTAATCATAACCTATGCAGAATGTTATTTTAACTACCACAGTATATTCGGAAGTCAGAAAACGGTTTCCCCCTGAAAACTTCAAGCAAGTCGTGTCAGTGTCATGTAATAGGCAGAAAAAAATTATGTTGTGACAGAAAAAGATGTGAGATGCAGTAACTCACAATGACTAAAGTAACTTACTACATTAAAAGCTTGTACTTTCCACAAGAAAAGAATTAGATTGGACACAATCTTTACATAATTATAATGTTCCGTATTTTGAGACGGTAGCTTGTAAACAATGACTTTACTGAAGCTTCTCCCAAATAAAGGCGCTACACATTTGATCCCGCAGCTAGTTACTCTGTTGCAAAAACATTTTTATCTGGTTTTTGAAAGGAACTGGTAGTTTATATTATGCGTTCTTATTTTGGGGTCCTCTTAAAATTGTGTGATTGAAGGAGTAAAAAGCGAAACGGATTTCCTCGCCAACCCATTAAATAAATATACAATAGGCAGGCGAGGATCTCCACTACGCTTTCTACAATAAGAAAACTTGACGTATTGTTACTATCGGACACGAAACATTTTTAGGAGAACGTACTAATCCCCTCTTACAAGCCGAGAACAAAGCTTTAAATGCAATTTCTAACCTACCCACATAAAAATTGAGTAGGGCATGATGCAGAATTAACCATTCATGCTAATTCTGTAATTTACAGAAAGTCCCCTTATTATATGCATTAACTTCCGACGTTCAGTGCAGGAGTTCAAGCAGTCCAAGCGAGAACTTTAAACAAAGACTAGTTAATTTATTTCAGATTATTGCAAAATACAACAAATAAATGATTTAATAAAACAAAACAAAAACTGAGAAAATTATTAATGCAAATCAGTCGCAATGCGGACTAACCCGACGGCTTAAGTTCCCGGTGATCCTGAAAAGTGTTAGAATATGATTTGAATAATGTTGAGAAGAATATTTTGCGGCCGTTGATTATTTATGTTTGAATAATAATAGATGTACAAAACGTCTCAATAAAATAATGGCTTTATTTAGTGCTTAATATAATTAGTATTACATGCTTTTCTTCGCAACCTAGGCTCTTAAAGACATTGGAAACTAGTGTGCTGAAGGGACACTTTAGGTACTATAAATAATCCGTAAAATCCTACAATGAAAATGATTTTAAAAGAGAGATTAAAGATCAGAAAAGAGTTACCGACCGTAATTTGCGTTTATTAGAAGATGAATGTTCATGTTTGAACTTCCTGCTTACACACCACAGTGCATTTTGATGTCATTACATTTTTAGTATATTTGACGAATTAAATTCTTTACATAGGTTTTTGAACTCATTGCAGTCCTTTTCTGACTAGCGTTTACATTAGTCAACAAGTAGTGGACACTACAATAGATCTTTTACAGTAATAATAATTCTAACCTCAATCTCTTTCTTTCCAGACACAAAAGAAAAATGCAAAACTTCCTGCCGTGCAAGACGTCCCCGCAGAACAGGTGCGACGTGTCCAACGGGAACGGCGTCATCTACGAGGACCTCACCAACATTCGGCCGCGCACGCTGCCCAACCACTGCGCCACGGGGCAGACAGCGCCCTCCATCGAGGTGAGCCCTTGCCCGACAGCTGCCCTGCGCCACGGGGATGACCGCACCCTTCATCTACCCTTGCGCTACCTCGCCCTACCCTTGCGAAACAGGGCAGACGGCGTTCTCGATCTGACAAAAGTAACGAGATAGATACACACCGATGGAAGTAGATTTTTTGAGCCAAGACAGGTAAAACTGACTGTTTTCAATGCTTAATTATTCTGACGCCGATGTAAACTGTCTTTAAACACTTGTTTAAAGAATAATCCCTTACGACTAGAGCTCTCGAACTTGAGTGGCAGTTGCTCTTGGCAATATTCCAACTAAGCTCTCCCGATAGTTCGTGGCCCCAAATATGACAAAAAAAAATTAAAAGAACAAACATCTTCCGAAGAAAGTCAGCTAATACGTTGCCATTCTGATGTCCTGAATACTGTCTTCTAGGCCTCATGGCCGTAGAGAGAAACGACAACGGTTCAATGAACGATCCAAACCAAAGTTGGGAAATTTCAATCGTTGAAATGCGTCGACTAACGAGTGTTCCTTCCCCGGCGAGGTGAGATTTTTCGAAAAGCGTGATCTACGAACAATGCGAAACCCTAACAATTTTTGTTCACTTTTAAAAACGCATACTACATATAACCAATATATTCAGTAAATAAAGGCGACACTTCGCGTTGAGTTGAAAAAATTAAAAGTTATCTACATTAATGACAAATGCTGCTGAAAAGTACACAATTTGCTTACTAAACGTTACCAAGTTGTACAAACACTCCTTAAGAAATAGAAAAAATAAACGCTCATGTAACTTCCCAGGAAATTAAACATTTAAACAAGAAAAACAGTCATGCATAATGAAGTAACATTGTATTATGTACAATAGATCAGTATACCAGGAATTTAAAACAGCGCTGTTCCATAACGCAGACGTAAATCAGCAAGCGACCTCATCCTTGGAAGACTGGCAGTCACATTTCGTCAGGTTACTATGTCAGGCCTCATACGATACGAGATAGGAAGAAAAAGAATTAAGCATGCTAATGAACATAGCTGAGAAGTATTATAGAACAGGTTAATGTGTTTTTTGTGTGTTTCTTGGGTTTTTAATTTTTTAAGTTAAGACGATTTTTGGCCCTTTTTGGGCATCCGGCGTAGCATGGGCAGAACGTATGCACTAATCCTCCTTTAAATTTAATTGATTGCCTCTTAAGATTGCAGGCCGTCATGTCTTGTCCCCTCGACCAGTTACTCGACACCTTATATACCAGTGTTCCCAGACGGTCACCCCTCCGAGAATTTGTGGCGTCTCGAGTTCCTTTAATTACCGTGACGGAACGTAATAAAGCAATTCGGGTAATGACGCCGGGAACAGAGAGGGAGGGCGCGTGATCCAAGAGCAGAGAAGAGGAGGATAGGCTGCAAGCGGACGGACAGGAACGGCAGGAATCGTACTTGGGGAACCGTGGTGACGAGGCGGCCGAGAAGCGGGCGCGGGCGACAGGTTCGTGTCTTCCTGCACTTCCCGATCGAGCAACTCCCGAGTAGAAACTTCTCGAAAGGCGATCTCCGCTACGCTGGCCGGCGCGTGTGGTGACTGATTGCAGCGAAATAACAGGACGCCAGCTTCCCAGGGGCTCGTGCGTGCAGACAGGGCGGGCCGCACCGGTGCGGAAAGCTCCCGTCCACACCGGCGCGAGCACCGGCCGGTCGGCTCAGGGGAGCAACTTGTCACGGCAGAGCCTTCATCGGGGAGTTCAAGTCCCGATGGCGGCCAGATTGTTTTGACACTGCTTACCGAGGCCGAATTCAGCCGCTCTGATCGGTAGTTTCTCCAACCAGTACCAGGAGAAATCCAGAGCAGTACCCCAAAACAGGAAATTGGCCGTGATTCTTTCTTACTCATGCTTGTTCCCATCTCTTTCCTAAAACACAGACACACGCACTGTATAACCACATATGTGGTACCAGTGTCCTCGGCCGGCGGTGTCCTCATAGGGGAACTCAGGATACGGTTTTAAATCGGCGCCGGATCACTCGTGCCAGAGTAAGGGAACACCGCCGCGTTCCGGGATATAACATGCAGACGTACGGGACTCATGACTAGTAGTTCCCGCGCACGGAAACTAGTTATAAATGAACCTTTGGGCGCCAATTGGGAATAAATGTACTACGACGAGCGCTTCCAGATCATACGAGCACGTTTCCTTAGATGCGTCAGGACTGGAGGTACGGTAACTTCGCTAGCAGCACTACGAACTCAAAACTTAGAAGAGTGTGGCGCGTGTGCCGAAGCAAACGGTTTCTTTTACACGAGAAACTTAATGAGTAACTCACAATAGCTAGTCAGTAAAAAATCAAGGGTTGATATTTGTATTTAATTAAACTAAAATACTGAGGTCATTAACTACACAAACATACAGTAACTCCACAACATCTCTTACGCCCACAGGAGGAGCGGGTCCAGGGGACCAAAGCCCCGTCACCCTACGTAACTAAACATTCCTGTAAAAAAAATTCCGTTTTTTAACCCGACAATTTGGGAAATTGTTATACAATTTGGAGAGTTTTTTGCAAACCATCTTGAAATATTGTGAATGAGACGAAACAAAATTTGGTTTTATTTAGTGCCATAACCGTTATTAATTCTTTCGTTTTTAGTTTTCGTAGTTAGTTTATTATTCAGGAAAGTGTAATGTGCAATTTTTGTTTAATAGAAAAGGATGCATAGAAAAGACCAAAAATATAGTTCGCCACTCTTCTCATTTAGGGATGCACACGACTATGTTTATTCACGGAATGATTACTCTTCATGCTGGAAATGATGTGTTTATCATTCCCTAAAAATGACTATAACTCACATTTGATAAAGGGGAATTAAGATTATAGTGTAGAGTTTCTATCGAACTGAAGTATTTTCTGAAGTGAAGACAATAGTCACAAATAAGTTCAACTATTTTTCTGTAGCTGGCGGTCCGAGTTTTACTGTAGTTGATCGACTTGTCGTAGACTAACTTCCTACCCAATCATTGGCCGTTAGACATGGAGACTAAGAAAAAAAGTTAAACACTGCTACAGCATGTGATTGGTCGAAAATTATGATTTATTGCCAATGAACATTTAGGTCTAACTTCATATAACGGAGTCATACATGTCATCTACCCCCGTGAAAGTTAAGTAATGCTTATGCACAGGTGTAACGCAGGTTAAATGAAGACGTGTAAAATGTATCACTACATAATATGAAATTATAGACTATAAGTTTATCGGCAATAGCTGGCATTTTCGACATCCGCAAGCCCTAGAAGTTTGTAACATTCATTCTCATACATCTTTCATTGCCAATCCCTGGTGTCGACTCAAGGATAGCAGATGAGAGGGCGGGGAGTCCAATGGTCGAGGCGGGGAAGGGGCGGG